ATTCATAACATTGCAAGTAGAAAGGCAAGATACATGTGACATAGAGAAAGTAGTTTATCTCAATATTAGGGCATTTTTCCTTAGTGACAGAATCATTCAGGTTTTTTCCACCTGTATTTTTAAATATTCTACAAACAAGAGTTAATTTTAAAATGTCTTTTAATCATGTGTTCGCTCTATGAGAGTAACCATCAAATGCATCTAACTAAAAAAAAAGTCTTCTTTTAATACAGTTTTCTGCTGTACTAAAAAATTCAGGGAAACTGTATCATGCAGAGTCATGTATATTTGCAAATTGATCCATCTAATGTTTCAGTCAATCCAAATCCCCTGTGTAAAGTAGTCACCTTGAAATGTATTGTGGTTCTCAGTGAGAGAAGAAAACAAAGTAGAAACAGGACTGTGGGGAAAGGTAAAGTAGAGAAGTCTATGAACATCTCTTGGGGAAAAAAAAAAGCCTATCTTAATAGTATTCTCAGATCTTTAAAAACATATGAGAGCTTTTCAAAAAGTCCATAGAAATGCATATTATGAAATTTAAGTTAATTCAAAGTATACACATATATTTTCAAATATTGTGCACCAAAATAAATGTGTGTGCTTTCATTTAATTTTTCCATGAACTAAAAGCACCCTTGAATTACTAAATATTTACTTTTCACAAAAAGTATTATAATCTAGCATATTTTAAACTTTGGCTTCCTTGAAAACATGTTTCTTTACATTAACCAAGTTATACTACGAACTACTCATTAAATCCTATGATCATAAAATGCCAGCTACACGTAAACTCCATTTAGGTTTTCAAAAACATTTACAAATAAGGTCATGATATAGTAATCACAATCTTTAAACAAATTCTCATTTTAAATAAAAAAACAAATCTCAGTCAATTACCATATGATACATTAAAAGATATCCATGATAGATTTCTTTTTTCCTCAAAATTCAAATAAATGATACATCTCTTGCTATCTGTGGTTTATGTAGTGTGATGGGAGGAAACTGGGACTGTTATGTGTGGTCCTGCCTGTGTAAAGACAGTGCACAGGCACATTACAAGCAAGGCTAGCAGGGTCTAGCCAGTCAGTTTGCTGGTTTTCTAGGGTGATGATAGATTTGCATTGATTTAACTTTGCTGTTTGGTCCACATCCTGGGAGGATGGTAACGTGCACCTGGAGTGGGCGTGGGCCAAGAAAGCAGACCAGAGCATGCAAAGCTGACTGTCTCACCCGGTGAGTGATTGACTTCATGGCCATGAACTTGGACTCGTTTGTTTAGTTTTGACCAGCTGAGCTAACTCATTCTAAGACAGAACTGCACAAGCTAGCACAGCCTTCCAGAGTTTTTATTTTTCCTTAAAAAATTCTTTTTTCATTTAATTTCCAAAATATATCCTATCATGTCATAGAGGAGTTTTATAGGAATAAGACTGTTATGAAAACATTATTTCAAACATCCCTGAAAAAATAGGGAATAAGTATATTCAGGAAACAGTAATTTTTAACAAATGGGAAGTGAAATCTAGAGCAAATAGTCACTTAAAGCAAAAACAATTAAAACAAATAAATTCACCAAAGCAAATGCCTTTTTTACAATTAGACTTGGAAATTTCAAAGACTTCATGATAGACAATTAGTAATATCATCATCTGGCAAAAAGAGAACCAGAAGGGGACTCTGGAACCCTGAGATCCTGTCCTGGCTGTCATTATATAACATAAGTCACACATCAGTTTCTTCATTTATAGAAGGAGAAACCGGGCTTGACACATCTAAGAGTCCTTCCAATTTTAAAAAACTAAGTATTCTTCTTCTTGTCAAAATTATATAAATCATATATTCAACTTTTAAATCTAGAATTATTTTAAAATCCATGACAAAGATAGAGCTGCTAAAATGTTCTAAGATAAAGCGCAAAATAAAATAAGCTTTACTTTCTGAATAAAAAGCCTGTAAGGATACAAAAAAAAAAAAAAAAAAAAGTTATACAAAATAGTCTCAAGTTTTTCCCCATCTAAAAGACAGGATCACCTGGACATCACAGAATATATTTTCTTGAACTAATTATTTCTAGTGCAGCACTGCAGTATTGCTGAAAGATTTAAAAAAAAATTGTCAAGGAATTTTCATATATTATCTAGAAATATAGTTTCCTTCCTGTTAAAAATTCTTACACAAATGTAAAAGTAAAACCTCAACTTATCTAATACATGCCTGTCTTCACTTTATGGTACTGCTCTGAAGGCTGGATGACTGAATGGATTTTGAAGCAGGGTGTGCCAGATTGTTTTAAACCTTGCAAAACCTTTTTAGTATAGTCTTTGGAGAAAAATTACAATGGAAAGCAGAAGTGATATGAAAGACTCTAGACTAGAGTTTTAAAGCTTCCATTGTCATGGTAAGCCCCGTGTTAAAATATATGCTAAGAAGACAAAGATACAAGTATTTCTAACCAAATATTGAGATGAGCATAGTCTACATTTGCTGCCAGATTGAGACATTTTATAAGGATTTACTCTTTATGATTTGCTCATTTATTTCAACGCAGCCTCCCTCACCTCTAACCCCTGGGTGTAGCTCTTTTTCCTTTAAAAATTCTATCAAGTGACTCAGTGTCCTATTTTGTGAGAAAAATCTATCAGCTGCTATACAAATTTGCCTCATAAGTCACCACTGAATCACATTCGTGATAGCAAAACCAATATTACAAAAACTAATGCAGTGAATTGAACAGTTACAGGAAAAGGGGGGAGTTACAATTCAAGGTCAAATAGTCGTATTATCCTAAAATCTCTGCACCATAAATAGAAATTTATTGGACATTTTAATAGCTTTTTAAAGTAAGGAATTTATCAAGTTCTTGAATTTTTAAGTTTTTTCAACTTTTTTCAAATGAAACTTGTAAAGGATAAATGATGTTTTCCGATGAAAACTTTAAGCTCAGTAATAAAAGCATATTACAACGAAAATAAATTTTTAATAATGGATTACTTGTCAGTTTCGAGGACAAATAATGCATAAGATACTAAGAACCATGTTTAAAACAAGCACACTTAAAAAAAGATACTTTGACTTTTATTATTTCACCTCTCCTATATTGCCTTATACCTTTTAGATTTATGTAGCACCTATCTCCCACCGAATTTATATGGTCTTATAGGATTATAGACTTAAAAGTATTATGACTGCACAGTATCAATTAGATGTCCAATGAGATATATTTATTCCTTTTTTTTTTTACCTGAAGAATTTTCTATTGCCATATTTTGGAGAGGTCATACGGATGAAGAAGGGTAGATGAAAAGCAGTAAATCATACCTTCCAAAAAGCCATCAGCCTCACTTCATCATAGGTCATCATTGCTTCAGGGAGTTGAAGAGAAATGCTAATCAATCTGCTTTCCTGGATCTTAGATAACGCTCAGTTTTTAACTGTGAGAGAATTTTGCAATGAAGAAACAATTCTGAACAGAGGTTCTGTCAATATTATCATTAGTTGTTGTCTACACTATCAGTAGACTTACCAGCCAAAGTCCACCAATAACTTACTCCTAAGATATTTTTTAGAAGTTTTCACAATTTTTGGCAAGCTAGTATTTCCATTGCTCTTAGGAAATAATGGCAGTCAGCCAGTTTATAAATTCTGGTGAAAACTCAGAATGTAATAGTAAATATCACATATTTAACCTTTTCTCAAGTAACTATAAATATCTGAAATATAACCCATAAATACTATATTCTATAAAATGAGCCCTATAACAATATTAAAACATCACATCCTTTTACTTCCTGACTGTATGTATAATCTAAACAGAAAGCAAATTCATACTTTTAACTTTTTTTCAAAAACTGTTGAACTTAAACTAAAAAAAGATTTCTGGAACCTAAAGTACTATAAAATCCCCTTTTATTTATGAAAATACAGAAATGTGTACTTTAATAAAAGGTAAAGCATTACAGAACATAACCAATTTAAAGGGAAAGCAGGCCCTAAGATTTACTGATGCAAGTTTCCCTACTTGAGTTAAGCAGTAATGGCTAAATTTAAGTCACTTGATAGTAACAGCTTGGCGATTGATGAATGGAATTTACTTTCAACTTATAGCAGTGGATAATACACTTTGGGGAGGGGAAAAACCTGGTGTACTATTAATGGTATCCATTGACGAGTGGCTGTTTTTATTTATACCTGGTTATTCATCTTTCACAAAGATATATCTACTTATATAGTTTAACTAAAATAAAAATATCCTCAAATTTTAAATACTGAATGGAACATGAAAACTTACAATTAATTGAGACACTTGTTTATGAAAATAGACATTTCTCTCTGGTTATTTCCTCAAGTTCACATTCAATCATGGCAGTTTAGGAAAACATATTAGCTAACGTGTGATAAACCGTTGACCATTTATGTTCCATTATAGATGTTTTTTAAAAATATTCTCAAGAAAAATGTAAGTACCAATTCATACTATGATCTCTGGAAACAATTTATAGCTCTAAGTCTTTTATTTCAAAATATGAAAGTCTTTAAAACATTTCATTTTCATACACTCACTAGCATTATATTTGTTTCACACATGGCTCTAAAAACCTATAGAACAAATTTCTTGTGGCATGTTATTAAGTAAATGACGTGAAAATGTTTGTCATAACAATTTCATCTAAAAAAAAAAAAAGTCCCAAACTGTGAGCTGATTATCGTATATAATTCTTCATTCTTCCCAACTTTATATGCTCTTACAAAATTGTTTCATGAATAGCATTCACTTTGGGTCCATGAGTAGTCTGGTCACATGAATATTCATTATTTTCTATTTAAATCTTTAAAGGATCCACCATTTCAAAACTCTCTCTAAAATCATAATTATATAAGATGTTGCTCCAGTTTGAGTCTCAGCTACATTAACTAATAACTTAATTATCCGAACCAGAACCATTCAATATCATTGTCTCTAATACTTTTTTCAAATAGGAAACTTGAACACACTGTAATTCTTTTAAGAATCTTTATTGATTTTTTTAAACAATTCAGTCTAATGGTGCTCCGTGCAGTTTATAGAAAAACTTCAGTACAGTCTCATATAAACTGCAATCAAAAAAGGAATTTACTTTGTCAAAGAAGTTATCTGAAGTTGCAAGTTATTTTTCATAATATGCAGAACAGTAAAATGTAACCATGCTCTGGGATGCAGGTGCTCCTGCGTACTATGGAGTTATTTTGGAGAGCTTGCTAAGGTCTGCAGGCAGTTTATGGGATGCAATAATTTTCTCCACAATTTAGGTACATGAGAATAAAATTGATATTTATGAATAAAGTATTTTTCTCAAAAAAGTTGAGGCAGATTTTGTTGAATGCTATCTGTGTGGGTACACTTGCTACACCTTGAACTGTACTAAGAGAGACAGACAGCAAGGAGTCCATGTTCATGCTGAAACTTGAAAAATTCCTCCACTCGAGTTGAGGAGTTCCAAGAAAAGGAAGAGGACAAACACTATGCACAGTTGCTCATTGTCTTACATGAACAGAACACACCATGAAACTTTACATAACAAGGAAGCAAAATCCCCTTCACTGCTTTCAGTCAGTCAGTGGCGTCTATAGTGGAGGGTGAAGTGGAGCAAGCCTAGTACAGGGTAAAGCTTAAGTCTACACCTCATGCAGAGTTGTCCTTGTTCAGTCCTCTCATTTTCTCAGACATCCGAATTAGAACTGAGGTTTGTTAACCTGGGGTCCGCATTGATTTCGTATCTGTAGTGATACCCTTCCATATGATCCCTGCAGGCATCCCTGATGTTATGCATCCACTTTTTTATCCCCTTGCGGTTCAAATACAAAACCAGGAGGAAAATAGCGCCTATCAGGGCTAAAACAATACCAAGGAAGACATAAGAAGTCTGCAGGGATTGGGGGAGGATAGGGTCACAGTCCAGGTCCGAGCTGCTGAGTTCCAAAAGGACCCGATTCCTCATCTTTTCTGGGAATGCACAGGTGAGCCTGGCTTTGCCCTGCACTATCTCTGTCTCCTTGAGCCAGGCCACCATGTCCACCATCTGGCAGTCGCAAACCCACGGATTGTTGTCCAGGAAGACCCTGACATGAGCCAGGCCTTGCAGTTCAGCCAGGGTGCCGTTGTGAAGGACCTTGAGGGCATTGTCCTCCAGGTGGAGGCTCTCTAGGTGTGTCAGATTGCGGAAGGACACGTAGGTCAGGCTCACCAGCGAGTTGTTACTCAGGTCCAGATGTCTGAGGCCAGGCAGATAGGCCAGCACATCCCGGGGCAGGTAAAGTAAGTGGCTGCTGGCCAACTCCAGGCGCCTGAGCCCGCGTAGAGCATGGCCTGCCCGGAGGGCCGCGGCCACCATGCCTTCTAAACTCTGGTTCTGCTTGTCATCTGTAAGGGGCACGAGGTGGTTCAGCATCAGTTCCACCAGGGGGCTAGGGGGTGAGACGCTGGCGTTGCTGCCTGAGAAAGCGAAGGGGCTGAGGTAGGTCAGCGGGTTGTGGCTCAGGTCGAGCTGGCGCAGGCTGGGCAGATGCTCGAAGGCGCCGGTGCGCACCTCTTTCAGGCGGCTCCCGCTGAGGTTGAGCGCGGCCAGCTCGGCCAGCGGCGGCAGGCGGGCGAAGG